AAGAATGATGTTAGAAGAGATAATGTAAGAAAGGAGAAGCTCTTTTGGCAGTCCTGTAAAAGGTCTTAGAGAGGTTTTCCAACTGGAGTAATCCTATAACCAAACTCTTTGAGCTTCCAATTATGAAACAATTTTCCAATATATGAAACATGATAAATATATTGAAATCCCTTTTATTTTTAAATTTAATTTTGCTGCATGACTCCATGCACAAGTGTAAAAGCTATATCCATAGCACCTTTAGCATTGCTTTACCTCCTCACAAAATTTTACTTGCTCTTTTGCCAGAGAAATTGGCACATTAGTATACTTGTATAACTAGTTTCCATCTTAACAAATAATGAGTATATGAATAATCAGCTTCTGCATGGTTGGTTGGATTGCTTCTGGTGTGCCTGTAATCTTTTGTATCTGTGAACTTAGGGCATTAACAAGATTTTATTGGTCATGTGGAGAAAGGTAGGCAGACTTGGGTTGCTATTGTTAGAAGTTTTTCTGAATTATAAGCTTTGTGTATCAGATTTCTGTTTGAGAGAGTTGTGAAATTGAAGTTGTTTGTGATTATTTACAACTGCAAAAAATACATGAGCTGGGTAACTAATGGCCAATGACTCTAGTGGCCCAATGGCAATCTCTATCCTTCAGAAGTTAGAGGTCTTGGGTTCAAGTCATGTGGCTAATGGCCAATGGCCCCAGGTGGGTGAAGGGATGGGATAAGTTTACCTATTGTGTAATCTGTTTGACCAACAGGTCTTTTGTTTTTGAATCAGGAGATTAGTTGTACATTAATAATATGGTTTTTCCATTTCAGAAGAGACAAGGTCAGTCAAATTCCAAGAGCCGAAGTGAGAAATTCAATCCTCATCCCGAAGAAGTAGCGTCTGGCTTTCCAATAGATCCACCCAGACCATCCCATGCAGTAGAATCAAATGCAGAACCACAGGGGAATCATTATAAGAGAGCCTCACATTCAGGGCCACTGGCTCAACGAGCTGCTTGGGCAAAAACTGGGAAAAACCTTGATGATCCGCCAAAAGTTTCAACTGGGCCTGACTTGTCTACTATGTCTGGTATAGTAGCAGCAAGGAGGAGTTTATTAGCCGAAGATCGCAGAGAAAGGTCTAGTTCTTCACAATCAGAAGCTCCCAAACTTATAGCAAGATTTCCAGGATCCTTCAAGGAGACCTCAGAATCCTTGAGTCAGCCTGATCAGAAACATCCTCAGCATAAAGAAGATGGAAGACTTAGTAACAAAGACCCAGTTCTGGTAAGTGTTATAAATCGAATTTTCTTCGAACTTAATTATAGGTTTCTCCATCAATATGATAGGTGTTTATATGGCTTCATTTTTTTTTTTTTCCCAATTTTCTTTTCTCATTTATCCATATCTTCAAACTTGTAAAACATAATTCTAGGGATAAATGAGCTGTATGTTTTTCTTTCTTAAAAGTGCTATGCTTTGATAGCTTTTGCTTGCCTGGTTGACTTTTTAGCTTTTCTGTATGACTGTTTCTGACAAATGCTTCTTTTCATTATTTTTCAGCTTGGTTATGGCTCAAAGGGTCACAAAATTCACTATTCAGGTCCTTTAATAGTTCCATCTGGCAACATGGATCAGATGCTTAAAGATCATGATCGCCAGATCCAAGAAGCTGTTCGGCGAGCACGCCTTGACAAGGCAAAGATGAGGAAAGCTCAGGTTGAAGGGAACCTAATATCAACCAATTCATTATTTATTTCTGGTCGTTGATCTTATCAAGGAAAACCCAAATGAAGAGGAAGTATCATCTTACCATCTAGAACATCAAGGGAGGAATAAATTTTATTCTGTTGTGAAATATGATTTGAGTTGTCAGGGGGGGTTCTTTTTGTCTAGGTTGTTTGTAGGATTCGCTGCTAGCGGTATCTAGCTAAGCTGGTATAGCTTTTGGGGAAATCTTGTCCTAGCTCCCTCCATTTTATCACCATGTATTTCTTTCCACTTGGCAACTGTAAAAGATTTGAGCCATTCTTGTAGAGCTTATTATTAGCCATAAGTTAAATGCAGAATTGACATTGTCTTATTATGTGATAGAGGCAGCAACAGCAGCAGCATCTCCCCCATTATCCTGATACTAGTGACTTCTGGAGACTATGATCTAGAAAAAAAAAAAAAAAAAACATTTGAAAGTCAGAAAGTGAAAAAAGATCAGAAGTTGGATTTCTCTTGTACTATAGACGAGAAGAAGTGTATGGTGTAGAAAATTCAGCTCTTGACTTCTTCTTTAGCTTGCTATAAAATGATCTCCAGGAATGGATTGCTTGTGATCAGTTGCTTTCATGCTGAAAAATCAACTATTCGTTGGTTTTGGCTGCTATAAATTTTCAACTATTGGCTGCTTTCTGTTGCTATAAATTGTGGCCCACGCCGACAGACAGCACCTTCTGCTTCTACTTCTACCGTGATGGTACCTCTTAACTCTCAAGTACCCTTGCTTCCTCTCTTTTTTCTTTTTTTGCTTACTCTCATCATTCGTAAATCACATTAGATTTAATTAATTTAAAATCTAGTCGAATTGAATTCATAAAAGAAATAAATTTCTCTAATGCTTGTTTTATCATTTATAATACTTAAATTTAAGATCTTATTTAAAAAAAAATTAAGTTTTTTTTTTTTTTACTCAAATCATCAGATTGTTAGTATCATTGCTTCCATTGATATTAGCCAATATGCTCTATTCAGTCTTGGACTGTAGTGAGGTCTGGCTTCACCAACTTTAATCCCACTAACCAGTTACTATACAATCCTGCAACCATGGATTATGGTGGTCTTTTCCTCACAAAGGATACCCCTTTCTCGATAGGAAGAGCGCAATACCTTTCTCAGCGTCATTATCCTCCTATATGACTATATCTCCCCATACAAAAATGTTCAGCTTTCAGTTGACAAAGGGACAAAAAGATAAAAGGGGTTATCGTTATTCCCTTGTGTATAAGCAAATTACTGTTTTGTAGCCTATCATGTCAAATTACAAAACAATCAATTATTAAGAGATTTTTTAACTTATATTTTAGGATATAAATTAAATTTCATTAATTATAATATTTATGATTAATTTTGCATAAATTTTTATATAAAGTTTAAATTAATATAATATAATATTTAAAATTTATAAAAAAA